ACGCAGACACACCCACATACACACACACGCACACACACTGACACACTCACAGACACACACACAGACACACAGACACGCAGACACGCACACACAAACACACACTGACACACACACACACACACACACACACACACACACACACAGACAGAGGCCCAGAAGGGGCGACAATGGTAATTAGTCGCTGAGACACATACGGAGATAGGTACGAGGAACATGGCAAAGGGGGAAATTGACATAATGAGAAGAAGGAAGAGAGACAACAGAACAGAGGTAGAAAAACAAACCGACAAACACATAGATAGATAAAGAGGTAAATGAACAATTGGCATATGAGTGTAGATTTGGCCACCAGAGATTTGGTTTTTGTAAGACGCCAAGTGTCGCTTACTTCAAACTTAGCAATCTGAAAGATGGCACGAGTAACACTGATGCGCACATGGGGTTGGGATCGATAGAATCCTAACGATCCGTTATTGATTACGCACACACGATGTAACGAGTGGGCTTGATCAACGTTCGTCAGACTCGGGCTTGATTACTAACCAGAGGCATAAAGGGTGCCATATTGAGGGAAAGGACTCCAGTTCTCATCGATTTCGTGATACGACACGCCGTTTCTAATCAGCCAGACGCACACCACCACACCATCTGTTTCATTCAGGGACAGGCTAGATTTTACGAGACGCGTCTTTGTTATTCTGCTTTATCGTAAATATGTCTTATACCTCTAGCCCTCAAAACACAATTTAGATTATTTAGGATATGGACTGCTTTGACACCGCATACCCGGGACGGGTAGGGAATAACAACCCAACCATAAGGTGGAGATACTCGATAAAATTAATAAACTTCTACACGCGTGGGAATCGGAGTCATGTTCTTTGCGTACAAAAAACGAAGATTATTAAACTGTAACATCACAGATGCCGTTGCTCCTTTTGATGAACGTCCATGGGTGTGTAATTTAGCAATGCAGAACTAAAATATAGAGCCACAATGGATGTTGTAAGGCTTACTGCCGCCTTAAAAGTACACTCAAGTACACACCTGTGTGTTCAGAGTTTGACACGCACATGTCTTGGGGTGTACATATTTATTAGAATATGCGTCTGCAAAAAGTAGGAGCGTTAATGATACGTGAAACTCAAACTGTTGGATAATGGTAGAGAGATGACATAATATAAGCCAGTATAGTTAAATGTACATTTTGTTGCACGCACATTTAGATTAAAATCTCACGGCACTTATATGACCTTATTGTGTTGCAAGTGCCGTAAAACTCTTTACTAAACTAAACTAAAATCTCAAACACAGAGCCTTATATTGGAAGGAAGGGTAGAGTTAAACTTAAGTTTCATGATACTTGTTTATTTTTCGTAGCTTGCCTCTATTAGTCGATAATCACAACCAGTTCTGAAACCCAAAATGTTGATGAGATCAGTCACAGAAAGCCACAATGTGATAGCTCAGCACTTGTTTGTCTTTAAATACAACACATAACCTGACAATCAGAACGCTTGACTGGACTTTTGGTTTGTCGCATGGATTCATTGACGAGTACAAGTATTGTAAGCAATTAGTAATCTCTAGCGCCCAGAGTGTTATCTCCAGCTCACACAAATGTCTATGTACAGGTAAAGGTGTCATTCCTATCCTTATAGAATTTTGCTTGGTGAACCCGTAGACTTTGCATAGTGGATTATCTCGCACGCTGATAAAATGTTACTTCTCGAAATGCCAAGCTTTATCAATAGTACCGTTTGATTTAAGCAGTAAGTGCCAACTGCGATAGCGCAAATAAAGTTTCAATAAAATTGTGATTTTTAGGCCCAGAAAGCCACCACACTGGGACCCCCTGGGAAATGAGGCGGCACATTGAAATGTAACCAGCCTAGTCGATAGGGTTATTGTAAAACGAAGTGACTGTTTCCAGTGACACTGGGGAAAGGTACAGAAACTATTCCCTGTAACAACGAACTCTTTTGCATTTAAAAAATAGCTTTTGAATTTTCACTTCGAACTTGGAAACAGTGTCGAAACAAAATTTCGATGCAGATGGAAGTGGGCGCGAGCGAAGTTCTTCTCCTTCAAAGAGTTTGAAGAGAAATTTGCAGCTTTTCAAAAGATCAAGATTCTAGGCTTAGATTCGATTCTAACGTGTACTGTAGACTCTCTTCTCACTTCAGTTCAGTACTTTAGTTCTCTTCTCTTACTTGGGCCTAGACTTGACCGTAGCCCTGATCTATCTAGATTTCTAGATCATAGATGTTCACTTTAAGAGGGGGTAACTATGATCTAGATCTAGATCTAGAAGAAAGAAGAGTCGGAAAGGTTTTCCACCTGTCCTGTACCGTGGTCTCCAAAATCCTTATTAGATCTAGATCTACACGTACATCTAGATCTAAATTAGGCTACGACCGAATAACAAGCAAGCATAGAATCTGATCAACTGATCATTCCTTTCGTTAAAAAATTCTTCCACTCACACCATAATCTACTTTAGTTGGATCTATCTTCAAGCTTAAAGTTCCTTGTTTGGTTATCTCTTCAGACGGAAGACTTGAACGGCTTTGCCAACTCCAGTAGCCCACCAGTTCATTTGGATGTAGAATCTCAGTGTCCCGGGGGATAAACGCGGTGGCAGCCTTCATTGCTCAATAATGTTTTGACCCACACCCAATTTCCACCCCCC